TCTGTTATGTATCCATTAGTTTATATTATAGAAAACAAGATGTTTTTTTCTAAACATTGTTTTTTGTTTATTTAATGTCAGAATAAAGTCAAGATATTTAATGTTTTAGTTTAATTCATTTATTCATTTTATTAAAAACAAACAAAACATTTCACACAATAAAACAACACAAATAACTATAACTAATAATTTTACCTTTTATTAAAGAGAAACCTCTTGTCTGCAGCTGAGAAAATAATTTAATAAATAAATAAAATGACCACAGGAGAGTTCTTGTTGAACTTAATTTCAAGTTTTGTCATAAAGGTGCTTTACTTAAAATCTCTTTTTGCATTAGGAGATAATTTATTTGAATTAATTTATTTTATTTGCTAAAACAAGGTAAAATGAGCTCAGTTTGCCTTTTGAGGAGCAGCTTTAATAAGAAAGTTTGTCCTTCAGCTACAGATGATGCTTTCATACAAACACAGCCTTTAAAGGTGATTATTTCATCTCAGAAAGTGTCATCACATCTTTGATTTGAGCTGAAAACAAAAAGAAAAACATTTTTTTCTTTAATCAATGACCCAGATGTTGGTTCAGACTTTAATCAGTTCAACCTGTTTACGCTGAGGTGTTTGTTTTTTTTACCTGCAGCTGTTGTCATGGAGGAGGTGACACGCCTGGTGTCCACTGGAGACTGCGTGAAGATCTGGGATGCGGTTTCCATGGCGCCGCTGGAGCAGTTCAATCCTCACAGCAGCAGCCACCCGGTCGCTCAGGCCTGCTGGAGCTCCAACAGTATCCTGATGGATGGTTGGATGTTGGATGGATGGATGGATGGATGGATGGATGGTTATTGGATGATTGGATGGATGGATGGTTGTTGGATGGATGATGGATGGTTATTGGATGGTTGGATGGATGGATGGTTGTTGGATGGATGGTTGGATGGATGATGGATGGTTATTGGATGGTTGGATGGATGGATGGTTGTTGGATGGATGGATGGTTGTTGGATGGTTGATGGATGGATGGATGGATGGATGATGATGATGGACGGATGTTTGTTGGATGGATGGTTGGATGGATGGATGGTTGTTGGATGGAT